TGGAGTGCGCTCCATCAGGAGCAAACCATAACGGTGAAAAGAGAAGCATTATTGAAAGAGACAAATAGAAGAAAGGAAGGATCGACCTCTAGCAGAACAATCTATAATGTGCTGTCAATTTTAGGTGATATTTCGAATCCGAGCCATTGCACGGGCTGCTCGCGTGGCAGCTGGACGCGAGCACGTGCAGTGGGACAGGGTAGGGAAGAGCTACGGCGAGGAGTGAGAAAGGGGGAAGGGGGGGGGGAGGACAGCGACCGTAAAGTACGCTTTAGCAAGCGCACATCACTACTGTAGGCACAAAAGCATTAGTAATATTGTAATTGTAAAAAGTTGTATTATTCAACTGTACTTTTTATCTATATCTATAGATCTATGTATGGGCGTTATGGTCCGAACCACCCCTTCTGCGAACAAGCGTGGACTCAGGATTCGCTGGGTTGCTTTATCTGTTACGATTCGTTCAATACAGTGCAATATGAGCAGCTCAGTGAATGACAAAGCCCGTTTCCGTGAAAGTACGCCTGGGAAGCCGGGCTAAAGAGAAGGAGGAGAGCGTAAGCCGGGCCATCGAACTGGTGTGGTAATATTCTGACTTCAGTTCACGTATGCCTTGTGCGCACATAGTAAATTTAAACTCACTTATACTCAAACAAAGGCTACTCTAACAGGTTGCTGAATTTTCGTGTGAGGGTTATGGAGATTTTTGGTACTAACTCCGAGAAAAGAATGGACAAAAGGATAGATTTCAGCGCTACATTGGGACAACGGTTACAATTCTACCATATATAATCGGCTATGTCCGTGCGTGCGTCTGTCTTTGACACGAAATTCATAGCGCCGGTCCCAGTAGCAGCGAGATATTGGTTCCAAGAAGTGACGTAGAGGGTGTGACGGGAACACTATTGGTGGGTGATAGGAAGTGATATCAGTTGATAAGAGGCCTCAGAAGGGGACTCTCACCATATTCGTAATGCGGGTCACAGCATCAGCCAGGTGTTGATTCCAACATATGATGTAGGGTATGGGAAAGGAACATTATTGGTGGATGACAAGAACTGTCAGCTGCTGATAAGATTCGAGGGATGTTAGAAGGGTATGGTCACTGAGTCCATCACGCGAGTCACAGCAACAGTAGGAGGTTCCAAGATACGATGTAGGGTTTAGGAAAGGAACACTAGGTTGGTGACAAAAACTGCCAGCATCTGATAAGATTGGATAAGGGGCGTCAGAAAGATAAGGCCACTGTTTCCATACCGTGGGTCGCAGAGTCAGCGTTGGTTCCAGCAGGTGATATAGGGGGTGAAATGGGGTCAGGAACGGTGGGTGACAAAAAGCCATAACAACTGATAGGGACTGATAAGAGGCCTTGCGGTCATCGTTGTTCAAGGTGTTAGAGCTTTCGAAGTACCAAATTCCAAAGTTTTTGTGAAAGGACGACGTGTGGTAAGTAATCATACCAATTGATTAAATTTGATGAAAATCAATTTTCGTCACATTTCTTACCACTTTTTACCGATTCACTGTCAAGTATTATAGGCGCAGTGTATTTCTTTCTTTTGATGTTGTTAGAATTTCGGAAGTAACCTTTCGGAAGTAACAGAACGCTATATGTTGCTTGATCTCAACTTCAACTCATTGCTCGAGCTATTTTCAGTTATTTTTCTACATTTTGCTGGAAAATGCACTGTGACGGTTAGGCGCATTTTGCACACTCTACCTCGCCCTACAGACTGCCTCACTCTATTCCTGCCTGGCGAAGCCGGGCCGTGACAAAGAATGAGGAGCACCCGGCAGGCAGCCGGGTGATCCGACTGATATACACTTAATTCTATGCCGATGCCTTAAATCTACATTTTCATTTCTTTCTACAGTTCCCCCAAGAGTTTTTGCTATATGGAAAAATTGATTTTGGTGACCTGCTATTTTCTTCAAGTCCGCGGAAGAATGGATGGTTATCAGGTAAGCACCTTCTTTTCGGCAAAATTCTTTGGCGCCCTCGTAGGTAAGAGCCGTGCTTTCTTCGGCAATCACGAACTGAAAATTATAATGGTGCAGCAGATCATTCCATATATGAAAGTAAACTGTCTTTTGAAGTTTTTTGCTGCTATTATTGACCCACCTTGATCAATCTTTCGTCTTCGTCGTATGGAAGAGAGAAATACTCCTGATTCTTAGCTTTTCTGAGAGTGTCTTCATCAACGTCAGCGGATACCCCCGGAGGAGGGATCCCTAGAACTAGCATCGTGCAAACGATACGGAACGAGCCAATCATGCTGTCGGAATACAGGAAAAATGGTTCTTATCTAATCATTCGAGCCTATATAGTGTCTCTTATCTCGCTCATTACGCTATGCAAAGGGTATTTTTTTTCAACTAGTCAAAACTCGTTTTTTCGTCCATGTTTCAAGTGCATAGCCTGTGATGGCCATTCGATGCGAGGTTAAATTGTTGATGTCACGGTGCTCATCAATTCTTATCAATAGTGAAAGAAGCAACAAAAAGTGAAGACTGCACAGAACCTGTCAGATGTCTTTTCGGGTTACATCATAAGGGCTCCTGAAATGACGATGTCAGTACGAATCCAGCACCCAAATGAAGTCGCATATCAATATTGAGCCATCTCCCAGTTCTGGGTTCCGGAAGAGTGATGGCTTTTATCAATAACGAGATGCGAAGTGCTTTGCAGCTAGCGACAACAGTGAGGGTAGGGTTTAGGCCCGCTTCTGCGCCGCCACGTACAGGACGTTTTACGCATCCCATTCCAAGATATGATTGTTGGATGCCATGGGTTGATCATTTGCAGCGGAACACTTCTCGTTTGGCTGAATAGCTCTTGAAATGTCAAACGAAGAACTGCAGGCAAGAGAGGTTTCCAATTGGTAAAGAGATGAAAGGCGAGATGAGACGCTTTTTTTGCCTATGTTTCACTACTATATCAATTCCAAGGATCTGAAACAGTGTAGAGGGGCTGATAGCTCTAATAGCGCGCCAAGAGTGAAGTGCCATGATGGTTGCTATATTAAGAAGATGTGGAATATGAGGAAGGGGGACTTTCACCTTCTTCGAGCTCACCTTCTTCGAGGGTAAGAGCAACTTCCTTTCCGAAGCTTCTGTTGTTTCTTTTGTTTCCACTGTTTCAAATATATAAGTGTCATAGAATTTTCATACTGGCTAAACTGTTTCAACTTTCAAAACATTAATAGAATACAAATCGTGTTCTAACAAAGAAAAAGATATGTTCAAACAAGAGAAAAACGTACAGTAAAGGAACCCACCTGGGGATCTATAGTCCTAATTTTCTTATGGAATATCAAGAAGATGAAACTTCCATATTTCATTGTATAAGCTCGAAGAATAAATGAGAAACACTGAGAAACTTACCATAAAAGAAACTCCCACGCTTTCCGCTTGTTTCATCCTATATCAAAAGAAAATAGAAAAGAAAAGCCATTAGTGAGGTTCTAACTTCCTTGAGTCAAAAAGCTTCATTATCTGAGACAACTGCAGTAGATCGGAAGAAAAGCCACGATAACGGACCGGTTTCCTAGCAATTTGAGCGCTCGCAGCGGTTCGGGCAATAGCGGAGCGGGCTCTGCGGCGTACCGACGATCGCCACTGCTGTCGCGAAGTATGAAGGCTGCCTTAGTGCTGCCGTACACGCTTTTGCCCTTGCGCATTCTGCGTTCCAACAGAGGATGCCTGTGCTCATCCTGCATTCATTTGAACTTTACCGCCTGGTCCGCGCTACCAACAACTACTACATAGCTGCTGAGGTATTGATAGTACTCCACCCTTTCGATGGTTTCGAGGAACGATCGACCTCCGTTTGTCTCCCTCCACTGCTGTAGGTTATCTTCTGAGTCCTCCTTTTCGCGAAGAAGGTGCTGCAGATTGCTAAGTCGTGGGCTGTGGCTAGGTCGAGGATCCGTTCTCTTCCTCAATCCTGGCTAATATTTTCTACCTCCGTGCACCATTTCTTGACGCCTTCTGTCGCTTCCCACATGTCTATTCAGAACACCATTATGGTGATATAGTAATATTCACAAAACGATTTTATGGCCAGCGTCAGGTAGAACACATCATTTTCGGAGAACCGGATGCGCGCACACACAGTCACTATTGTCCAGTATCCCTTCTATTCATTCTCACTCACACGATTCGATCAACGATCCTGTTCATGGAGAAGACGCACTTCTTGAGGGATATTGCTGCTGCTGCTACAGCTGTGATCACACTTTTCCGTTCAGTGTTCCCCCTTGCAAAACAGTTTGACGCTTTCTCCGATCTCTCGGGCTTTTGCTCCTTTGGAGCAAGTTTCGTAAGGCATAATACTTAAATATTCGTACGTCTCATGAGGTTAGTAGCCTCTTGAGGCTTCCCAAAAAGTGATCCCGCGTCTAGGTTCGTGATTCAAACTAGACTCTTTGGCTGAGGTGATTCACCCTTTGGTATCCCTCGGATATTGATCACGAACAAGGGTTCTGCGCACTGCTCCCAGGTGATGTCCTAGCAACAACAGATAGTGCCACGACTTCCAGTCATTATTGTTGTGACGGGGGTTGTCCGGAAAGTTCTCAGCGTTTTGAGTGTTTCACTTTAAACGATCACTTTCTTAATACTCATCGGATTCAATCGAAATAAGCACCGTTCAAATCAGCACACTTTTGCCAATGTGACATCATCGAAGAAAAAACTGCGTGGTCAAATCCACGAAATCCACGAAGGCTTTTTTGCCTGGTCCTGATTGATGAAGTATTTTCCAGCAAGGAAGTTCTGAAAATGTTTGAAAAGGTGATAGTCGGTTGGTGAAAGGTCTGGAGAATATGGCGGGTGAACTAGAACTTCAACCCCAATTCGTTCAATTTATGGATAGTGATTTGTGAAACGTGTGGGCGGGCGTTGTCATGCAAAAGAATCGGACCCTTTCTGTTGACAAGTGCTGGCTGCAGCTGACAATTTTCGGTACATTCGATTTCTTCTTTCTTCACAGTAGGACTCTGCTGTGATGGTTTGGCCTGGTGACAAAAAGTTATAGTGGATCACACCAGCCGATGACCACCACACTGTGACCATAATCTTTTTTTTTCGTGAGGATTCGGCTTTGGAAATTGCCTCGGTGGTTCGTCGGCATCCAACCACTGTCCGGAACGTCTCCTGTTATCATACATGATCCACTTTTCATCACAGGTGACAATTCGGTCCAAAAACGGGTCGTTTCTGTTGCAGTGAAGAAGAAACCTCGAGACGTGCCAATTTCTGCCGGTCACTCAAATTGTGGGGCACCCACTTGTCGAGTTTTTCACCTTCCCAATGCGTTTCAGACCATCCGCAACAGTGGATTTGCCAACGCCTAGCTTTTCTGCAATCTCTCGAACTGTTTGGGATGGGTCAGCCTCCACAAACGCCTTCAAATCCTCGTCAGGTATTGCTTTAGGTCGACCGCTACGAGGTTCATCTTCAAGGCTGAAATCTCCAGAACGAAATTTGTCGAACCATTGTCGCACGGTGCTTTCTCCAACACTATTGGGCCCCCACACCTGGTTAATTTGTCGAGCTGTCTCGACTGCGGATTGACCCAATTTGTAGTTGAAGAAAAATATCGTCCGAAGTTGCTCTTTTGACATGCTTCAAAAAGTCTTGGGAAAAGGGGTTTATCAAGCAATGGTGAAACGGCAATTATACCATCAGATAGCGCAAAAAATTCTCTTCAGGATGTACTACTGAGACGCAAGGGAGAATGAGTTTTTAATCAGCAATGAATGTACAAAAAATAGTAACACAAAACGCTGAGAACTTTCCGGACAACCTAATAGTAAGACAGGGGAAAGGATGGGAACATTATTGGTGGGTGGCAGGAAGTGATAACAGCTGATAAGATACCACGAGGAGCCTTAGAAGGGGAGGGTCACCAAATTCATAGCGCGGGCCACAGCAACGACGAGACGTTGGTTCCAAGAAGTAAGATAGGGGGCAGGATGGGAACATTATTGGTGGGTGGCAGGAAGTGATAACAGCTGATAAGATACCATAGGAGCCACTTCAGAGAGGAAGCCACAAAATTCAATGCACGAGTTGTACACTGGGGAACTTCTTCCAGTAAGCAATTCAGAGGTGGTTAGGGAACATTGGTGGTGGATATAAGTTGTGATATAGTGTACGACAAGGGTCAGTATCTGTTCGCAGCTTTACTCCGCTTGCGACTGATGTTGACCACCGTGGCCCATGGAATCAATGGGCAAAGGCTCAGTGTTTCTATCCTTTAGTGTTATAGTCGGAATTGATTCGACCGCTAAACTCTCGAGTTCTCGAAGTTGTTTGCCAGTGGGGAATGATAAGAGCCACCAACAGACGGATATGTGAAAGCTGCTCAACGGAAGTATTATGATGTAAGCACATTTCACTATGATTTCGATATTGTTACCTTTCAACCGCTAAGCCGTTCTATTGCCAACGAATGATCTGTGTTTTTAGAAATCTGATAAGCACATTGGCAATTGCTCATTAAAGAGGAGAAATATGGAAATATGATGAAATGGGCCGAATTTTGAAACATGGGAATTAGGCCAAGTGTTAGGGGTCAGCACAGAAATCCTGTCATTGATCAGGACCACAGACTGAACCATGCGCGCAGTAGTGCGCGTCAGCCAAACTGGTCTCACTATATAATGTTGATGTCGACGAGTGGGGAGGGGGAGGGTATGTAGTTCTCCCGAAACAGGAATATCAGGAAAATTCGTAGAGAAGCGTGGATCTGAATAATGTGACACATTATGAGTTCAGTGGCTTTTTTTACTTCTGTAACTTCCAGTAACTGATAAGAACGATTGATACGGAAGTATAGCACCTGCAACTAGTTATGTCATAGAATGCGATAGAAGAGCGAAAAATAACAAAAACACTGAAGTTAAACTCGCAACGGGAAGGACTCTGGGAAACTCTGCGTACGAATTTAGGATTACGTCGAGCTTTTGCACCAAAAATTTGCAACATTGGTGATTTGAACAAGTCTTACCTTGAGAGATGGATTGTTGTCCACTAGATGTACTCCCATTAAATGAATACGCAATAAAGGAGAGTAAAAGTATTTATATGCACGAGCTCGGTTGGCAAAAATAGACACGCAGTTTGAAGGTGTGTCCGCTGTCCCACCTGTCCAACTGAGAGGCTGTCAGAACTCGTACCTTGGAGTATTGCGGCGCCCTCCTCGCTACAACACTCCGAAGTTTTGGGAACTAATTGTGGGAGCGGAGTCGCAAAACTGAGACGATGTCT